TATGCAGATTTCGCCAAAAACTCAAACAGCGGTAACCATAATTATAATGGTTTTTGTCGGTTTTGACGAGTTCTGATATTTTTTTACGGCTTTTGTTGATTTTAATGCTTTTTTTCGCGGAATCTGGTACCATTACATTTGGAATGATTGAACAATAAATAAAACATACCGTGAACATGATTCCTTTCATTTAGAATGTATGGTTGTAGAATAACCCGGTCACCGAACTTCTCATTGAGGAGAAATCCCAATACATCGCCATATTGCAGTGAATTTCGCCAACGAAACAGGCCAATGTTCATTGACTCATACTTTTTGACTTGACTCATGATTTTTGACTCATAAAAATTGTATCATGATTTTTTATTCTTTGACTCATGATTTTTGACTAGTGATTTTTGACTATTTTTTTTTGACTAACAATTTTTGACTAATGATTTTCTGAATTTTTTTAGTTGAGATTCCTGCAGTTTTTTCAGTATTCGATTCTGTTTTTTTGGCCAATATTGATGGGTAAGAAGCTAAAGGGTGGGAGGAATTGGAAGAAATGTTATTACTGAATGGGGGAAAGATTATTACTGAAAGGAAAAAAAGTTCTTCTAACTTCTGTAAGCTTAAAAAATTGTTTTTTTTTTGGCATTTCATCGCTTATCGATTTCAATGAGAAGCGTAATCCCAGCTAAGCGGATCCACCGAAGGAATCGACTGTAACATTAAACGAATATCCGTAGTAGGCCAAATGATATGTATGATTTGATATTTTTTAGTAGTCTCCGTTATTTTAATGAAAACAACTAAACACAGTTTTTATTCGATATCATTCATTATTGAGCGTGAATAAAAGAGGGAAATGGATGGAATAACGCGATAAGTGATTTTTTATTAATTTATTTTGCAAATTATTTTAGCTTATACGGTCAGGCCTGTTTTAAAACGACATAATTTTCGATTTCTCATCAAAATTCAGGAAAAACGGTATATTCAAAAAATAAGACATTGTTATACTTTGAGAAGTTTTTTGAAGGCTGTTTTGTTAGAAGTACCATTTTGATAAAGTTTTACCGGTATAATGATCTATCGAAAATTTCAATGATTGATTAATTTTAAAAGTTTTTAATAAATATGTTATCGAATAAAAACTGTGTTAACATTTCTCCCAATTCCTCCCACCCTTCAGCTTCTTACCCATCAATATTGGCCAAAAAAACAGAATTGAATACTGAAAAAACTGCAGGAATCTCAACTAAAAAAATTCAGAAAATCATTAGTCAAATATTGTTAGTCAAAAAAAAATTAGTCAAAAATCACTAGTCAAAAATCATGAGTCAAAGAATAAAAAATCATGATACAATTTTTATGAGTCAAAAATCATGAGTCAAGTCAAAAAGTATGAGTCAATGAACATTGGCCAACGAAACATCACGACGCTATTATCCGAAGCAATATTTCTTTGTATTGAGTAGTGTGAGCCTTGATAGCTGTATTTCTCAGTAAACAAATCGCCTTTTTGAGCCAGCATTGAGTACTTCAGTGGTACATCTGTCGTTTTTTCGATATCATCATTCTCCGAATATCGAAATAGCAGTTTTCTCAGTTTCACGATAGACACATCATGTTGTTTTCTCGTTGGGTCCGAATCAAGTCTTGCACGAACTTCGGTCGTCAAATCTTGCAAAATTGCAGCACTAAAATTTTTCTACGGTGTACAATTTTATAATAAAGCATACTTCCGCAACATTCTTTGCCCAATTCCCTTTGTGATTTCTGACGATAATAGTCGTTTCAAACTGTGAAAATAAAATCTCGCGAAGATAATGCTTCCCATTGGCCTAAAGCGAAATAATTTCAAAAATATGCAAAAACGGTAACAACCTCTCGACGTAATGACTCTTTGCAAGTTGTCACAGCTCGACATTGACACAAAATCTTCTTCCGCGCAAGTGAGCTCATCTTCAGACGATTCTATAGAATCTATAGAAATTAAATCTTGCTCTGTTTTTACTTTTAGTTATACCTGATGTTAAGTTTCTCTATTTTCTGAAAATAGTTATTTTCTTCATTTTTTCTGTTGTTATCACCTGTTTCTGTCTCGTTCCGATATTCCCTATATTTTTTTCCATGATTTCTCGTGTGGTGTAACGATATCGCTTTCGATATGCAAATAGTTTTGAATTTTGCGACATATCTGCAAAGAAAATATAGATTTCTTAGAGCGGAGCCAGTAAAATGCACGATTTTTTTGGAAAGTATATATATTAAAACGCAATATACGCATAAAAATCGAATATGAAAAAATTCGAAAATTTTCGAAAATTGTTTTTCGAATTTAGACGTCAATTTTAATGCATGTCCGCAGTGTATAATTGTGGTGGTTACACTACTGTGATAAAATCCAAATCGTATACGATCCTTGCAATAACGTATACGACGAGGAAATGCGGATGTTTCGTATACGATTACAAACCATTCATCAGAATCGTATACGATCCTATACGATTCACATTAACTAATACGATTACCATTAACGTATACGATTTTAATTTTATCTTATACGATGAAGAAATTCGCTTTTTTCGTATACGACTAGGAATCATTTACCAGAGTATCCGTTTTTTTTGTATTCGTTTGTAAAATTTATTAAAGTCGGATTCTATTGGTTTTAATTTGCCAGATTCGAAACATCATAGGCTCTCAAACCAAAATTTTTTCAAAAAAAACGTAATTGACGACATCAAATTAATTGTTATTTTATTTTCTCATAACTATAATTTATTATTTGGATTTTTAAAAAAGCAAGAAAAAATTGTAGCGTGCGCGCGCAAAAATGTGTGCAAACACTGCAACGCAAAAAATCACGTAATTTCGACTCACAAAACAACCAAAGGAATATTTGAAAGGGAAATTTATTTAGAGTTTATTATTATTTTTTTTTATTCAAAGGAATATTTATTTAGAGTTTTTTTTTTGGTTGATTATTTTTAAAAAAAAAGTTGGAAATTGAAAACCAGGAACCTCGAATAATTGTGGATCATCGTATTTTTTTTTTGAAACGGTAATTCAAATTTGAATTAGGGTACCGTACTCTATGGATATCCTGTGAATAAAAAAAATCGACATATGATGAAGGTTATATTTGCAAATGAATTATAATAAATACAGTATAAGCTATTTCAACGAATTGATAAATTTGAAATGTTTTATTCAAACTGAATCATCTATGAAAATTGAGAATTCAAAATCAAAATTGATGGTTTATTTTTGAAACATATTGTCTAAGGTCGCCAAATGCCAAAAAATTCAAAAAGAGGTCCCGGAGCGCCGCTTTTTGCTATCCTACTAGATAGTCCCGTAAATCTACACCTTTAGTTTCGCGCCGAGACCATAGCCATTGTTTGGCATTCAGACAATAGTATGTATATAAAATTCGAGGGAATTCAATGCCAATTTACGACGAGTTGAATTATCTCCTCGAAAAGTGCGATGGTCCACAATTAGACAATTTCTTTACGATGGTTATAATATTAATAGTGAGATGCTAAGAAAAACTCAAAGAAATTGATAAAAACGCCATATAAACTAAAAAAAATAAGGAATATGATATTTTGTGCAGATTTTTTCAAATATTGTTTAAAAATTGGGATTTTTTCCATTCTTTTTTATAAGGGCATTGACAAAATCAAACGTGGGAAACGTCTTAACATCTACTAGTAATAAATAGTAGGTAAATCGTGGAAAACCTTCAATCACCCACATTTCCAAACATGGAAACATGAGCAGGTGAAAAATTGAATTTTTCAATTTGATATATTTGAACTTTTGCTCATATTAAGATTTTTCAAGGCAAAATGTCCGCAGCTCAAAAAGCACAAATTTTGAAAAAACGGAACGTGTAACTTTCGATAACATTCTCATATTAAATGCCGACAATCGTCTTTTTGAAGACATGCAATTTTGTAGAAAAAATAAAATAGACACATTGGAAAGTTGCAAGTCCGAAAATTCCCAATTGTTTATTCCCAATCGAAAAAAAAAACCCTCGAACGGCCAAATATTTCAATAATGCACTTTCATTGTATTTTCAATGTTTTTTTCTTGCGATGGCGAAATGGCGGACTTTTCGCCATTATTTGATTATGTCCCATGAGATAAATGAATAGAACTTTAAGTGATCATTAGGCGGCTAAAGCGATATATCGGAAACTCGGGGAACGTACTAATAGTAGTAGTAAATGTTTCGGATTATCTTAAGCGCTACGAGGAATCTGAATATCAAAGAAGGAAGAGAGAGAGAGAGAGAGAGGATTAATTCTCATCCAATTGAAACTATGCATACAGCAAGGTTTACAACTCATTCACTATTGAATGGCAGAGATTTGTCGAAACTACTTGAAATGAGATCCTGGAGATCAGAAAAGATTATGTCGTCCAATATTCATTTCAATAATAAGTAATGCTCCTTTAAATATACTGATATCGTAATAAAGCTTCAAGGTTTCTGAAAATGTCTGGACAAGACCATAATTCTTAGTTTCTTTATTTGAAATATGTAACTCAAATTTCTAGATCCGGACAAAATCAAACCACTGGTGTCCAAGATAGTCTCTATCCAATGAGATTTGAGAAACTATTGAGATTCTGAAAATCAGGAATGATTCACTCGGTCATTCTATTGAATATGGTATGGTGTATTTTGTTGAGAATTCAAGATTTCGTTGCGAGACCCATCCAATAAATTGTTGTCCACTTTTTTTTTTACATAATTCAATATTTAAGATCCTTACAATTTTTTGCTTTAGGTCTTGTGGCGACCGATTCTAGTTGAGTATCAGAAGCGTCTAGATACGTCTGCTCATTTGCAGAGATGCTCAGAGAATGGGGTAGATCAAAAAATAACCACCAATCCTCTATCATAATTAAAAACACAAACACACTCACATTTTTGTTCCATATGACGACAACTACCGTAATCCGGCATATTTTCGCATAATTAACCGATTTCCCTAGATGCTCTCACCTCCTTTGAGTTTTCGGTCCTCGTCGTCCTCATACTTCTTCTCTCCGACATCACCTTCGAGCTCATGAAGCTGCAGATTGAGTTTGCGTCGCTTCTCGACCAGCGAGCATTTGAAGCATGTGCAATTCGCGAATGGGCATTCACACTAGAAAATGGATCGTGATTCACTAGTGAAAGTCAATTGAGAATTGAGTGGGACCTTGTGATTTTTTCGCGGCTCGGTTTTATTGTGATTCAAACACCGTTGACAATAATAGACTTTTTTCTGTTCGACGACACCTGAAACACCGAGAAAAATAGAGATTTGGTGGAAATCGTCGAAAAACCTGCACGCTGCTTCGTCAAGAATATATTCGGAATCACTTGATAGACGGGTATCTGCATCGGTGGCAATGCGCGAGCGCACATCACCTCCGCCATATCTGCAACATAACAATTCGATTGTTTTTTTTTGGTATAGAAGAAATAGGTTCAATGTAGAACCGAAAGCTGACGAAGAGGGTGGTTTTCGATGGGAAGCAACAATGGGTGTCGGATTCAGTGTGGCCCGCCAAATAAGGTGGCGGGGGGGGGGCGCCGCCGACGGTTCCACCGAGAATCTCGTCTCGTCTCGTCTCGCGTGGCGCAACATAATGAATGTGTGACGATTCTCGAGATTTTCGTGCTAGGAGACATGCCAGTGAGTACTGTAGCATCGGCAAAACTGCCAGAGTATTCGCAAACATTATTTCCGGCGGCGCCGGTAACGGAATGACCATGCCGGAATTACGAAACGTCAAATAACAACAACAACAACAACAAGCGTCGAGTGATATTTGATGAAAAGAAACGACTACTGTAACTTTCCGGACCTCGATTGTTTGTTTGAGAATGTCCGCAGATGCTATCATTGAAATGGAAAACGGCCGGCAGTCAATGCAACATGAAGTGTGGAAGCGGAGAACGAACTGTTGCACTATATCATAACCATATTTCGAAAACAATTTTTTGGGGTTTCCATTTTGCAAAAAACAAAATGTTGGGAATGAGGTCTGGCTCATTGAGCCGGGCCGAGCAGCAGCAGCAACAATAACAACATCAGAAAATAAATAAGGCACCGTTTTGCATTTTGTGTCCTGATTCGGACTATTCCGAATGGTCGTTCAATATTTTTTTTGCAGGGATAGAGATAGAGAAACAGTGTGGTGAATCGAGAGATGCGTGAGACCGAATTCTTGTTTATTTACAGAGGACGCCGAGTGTTCAAAACGTTTCGGAACGGTCCGCGCGACGAGCGCGCCTGAATTTTGTCGTCGCCAAAAAGAAAAAAAAACGCGCGCGGTACACAAAACAACAAATAGATCGAATACTCGAGAGCTTCAATTCGATACAAATTTCGACGAGGGCGGCTGGCTCACTCGCCAACTGAAAAAAAAACAACAATCGAATCAAGTTATGCAAATTATGAATCGATCAACATGATAAGAGGCAAAAGTAGTTTTTTTTTATCACCGCAATTTATTCCGTGGTACCAACTGGCACTTGTTGTTATTGTTGTTCAAGCTGGAGTATTTGGTATGACTTAAAACAAATAGTTACATAAACATGACCCAAGTACTGATTAGCTGGAGCATCGAGTATGGTACGGGGAGAGGGGCAAGTTGAGTCACTGTACGAAAAGAGTGAGGGAGAGGAAAGAATTTTCAAGGATTAGAAGAATTGAAGATCAAGAATCCAGAGGATAAACGGATCCGAAGAGAACAGTTTGGTACGGTATTACCTTAAAGAGAACCTTCTGAACAATTCAAAAATGTATGATCCCGAGGATAACAAAGATCTTATAGAACTCAACCCTACTGTCTGATTAATGAAATAATACAAAAAATGAGATGCGCATGTGGAAAGGCGATATGCATCTTTCTCTCACAATTTCATCGCCTCAAAAATTTTCCAAAGCTTCCATTACTTGATAGAATCTCGAGGCATTCGATTCCGTCAAATGGTTATTCAATCTGTGATGAAAGATAGCACTTTTTTTTGCGCAATCTCGTATGTATTCCGCAACATTCATTAAACAAGTCTTCGGCTGGCGGCAAGACAAAGAGGGAAACAGACTGTGATTTTGATGGCACATCTCAAACTATAGTTACAGTGAATCCGACCAAAAAAACTATAGGATATATAGTTAGTGTTAATGAGGTCAGATGGGTACTTGAAAACCGAAATGCGCAAATAATGGAACATCGGCTGAAGGTGGCCGCCAAAAAAAAAACACACACACGCACACGCATGACGACGAACATCACATAAATCAATGTGGGCGGAGCCTATCTAAATTTGGGCGTCTCGAATGCTGTCTGTCGTTAGAATTGGCTTATCAATCGAATTATGCAATTGATAATGTTTGCGCAACCAACTGGTTCGAGCCACCCATTCGATGATTCAAATTGTGTGGACGATGATGATGATGATGATAATAATGGAAAAAAGCAAATGTGATGTTCAACGTTGTGACCCGACATGAGCTTCATTTATCGCGACCCGACGCCCATCGCGCAACAGTTTTTGACATAGTTTAGTTTAGTAAAACACCGGCCGTCGTCGGGAGGGGGGGATTCGCTTGGAATACGGTAGACAGAATGAATCTATCTATTCATCCTATCTACACATACATGTGTTCGTCCTCGATTTCCCTTCTCGACAATTACTGCTAAAAGGATTGCATGTTTTTTTTTGCATGGTGTTACTATAAAGTGGAAAATTGCCGAATTTGGGGTTGAGAGGAAAGAGGGAAGCCAATGAGATCATTTTTCGTTATATTATATGATTATGCTATTTTCAGAACTGCATGAATAAAAGCTAAATATATAATAATTCAGGACTAGAAATAATTCATGTTTGCCCATTCTGGCATAATTTGATCTACTAGGTAGATTTTTATAGATTATAGAAACAGACCAATTTAAGAATGAAACGCCACCATAAAGAGCATCACAAATAAATTTAAAATCCCATGTTTGGTCTATATCGTTTTCTACAGTCGAAACTTGAAACATTGACGATTGGTCAAACAAAAATAGTGCGAGGAATTGAAGAGGCGGCGAGCGGCGAAAAAGGGCACTTGCACTCGCTATAGTGCATGCTGGACGACCGCCTCCGACGGAGTACGGTAGCAAGACGGATTACGGTGCGATTTTGAGCTGGCGACGACGAATTTAGCACGGCGCATATGTAATCGGCTAAATTTGGAAATTCAACACAAAATTGACAAACAATTGAATGAGCAATGAATTGATTGAACAAATAAATACATATGGGCTAATATGGTAATTTTCGACAACCACCGGAAAACAATGAACATTAATGTATTTAGAAATGTATAAACCATTTAGGGAAAGGATGAAGTATTGGAGGATGTGAGAAAGGTGTAGCCGAACGGAGTGAAAGTGACCAAACCGGCGTGTTCGAGAAGATGTGAACCAGAAGAAGCATCAACAATCCGTTTGTGGACTTTCTTGAACAATAACCGAGAGCAATGGTTGGTATGGTGAATAGAGCACAAGGAAAAAAAAAGTAAAACGTTGTTGAGCGCGGGGGGGGGCTCCGCACCGCAAACAAATAAACAAGCAAATAAACAAAAATCTGGAAAATGCGAACTGTTGTGCACCGGCTGGCACCCGAGCAGAGGGGGCACGACGAGGCAGGCGTTCGCGTCAGCGCGAACTGTTATCTCTCTCTCTCTCTCTCTCTCTCTCTTCTCTTGTTCAATGTTTCTACGAGAGTTGGGGGTTTTTTGGTAATCTGAAAATGTTGCATGCCATGCTGACCGTCTTCGGACCGTCTTTCCTGACCGTCCATATTTCGTCAGTGCCAGGCGGGAACGCGATGATAGATGCTGCAGTGCGCTGGTTGGTTGTTTGGCAACTTTGACCTCGGCCCAATGCGACACATTTTGTCAATATTTCAAGCAGTCTATTTGAAGAGTTGCAATGTCCAATTAAATGCTAGAAGATGCGGTGATTTTTCAAACACGGCCGAGAAATTTTGGCGACCGGGAAAAAACTAGTCCACCAAAGCAAAGTTTCTTTAAATTTATTATTTTTCGCAGCACAACCGTGCGGAAAATAAGAAAAAAGTGAAGGAAGAGTCTTGGCGTGCTTCGCCTTTAAACAAACCTGAAAATCTCCATATATAGTTTTGCTCAAAGTCCTTTTCAAAATAACGGTTTTTAATATTCTCAATTTGTCACAATCACGTGCGGCTGAAAATGTCTTCGGCTAGAAAAAAGTAGAATGGTCCTGAAAATGTATTCGGCTAGAAAAAAACAACTTCGAGCCGGAGTGTTTACGGACCATCGCATTCTTTTTGGGTGCTTTGAATTTCGTATTGAACATTGGGAATTTGCGTATTATCTGTTAGACGTCGTCGGTTACATTTTTTTCTCAAAAACAATTTTCTTCAATTAAGTGACCTCCGCAGTAATTTTAATTGGGTTCAGTGTCATCTTCTTCTGATATCTTTGAAAAAAATAACCCCAAAAATTGCAAAAACAAAAAATAGCAAAAAGACCGCACGCGAACCGCATCGCGTCTGAAGACATTGGTCTTGCTGATTCTGGTAGCCGTTTTTTAATACAAGGAACGGACCATTATGTATAATATTAAGCGTTTTCCAATTTTTCTTTATTTTTCATTATAAAAACCATTCAAATATAGTCGGTGTAGATTGTGTGGTCTCGCGTGGACAAACTGGTTATTTCACATTAAAAAACTGATTTATATTATTTTTAATACAAAAAATTTACAAAAATTGTCTGAAATAAATAGTTTACATGGAAATAACAAAATAAGCATTCACATGTTGCGAGACCATGACGAAAAGGCGCCGCCCATAAATCTACCCTTATAGATTAGTCGCCGGACGCCGGCTGTAAATCCATTTTCAATTAAATAATTTTTATTTGAATCACCTTTGTCTGTTTTCGATGTCTGTTTTCCAATTCCTCCTCAACCAACAATAAGCGAAAGCAAAATTCGCATCGGGTTGACCTTCAAACCTCAATGTACAAAAATATTTAATTTTTGAAGTGACCGCATTCGATTGATCAAAAATTGGCTCAATTCGAGTGGATCACCGTAAAAATTGTTGTGCGAATCAAATCCATCTAGTCTAGCCAGTATCACTGAAAAATAATGGGGGGTTCTTAATTGTTATCAGTGTGTTTGTTTGATTTCCGACAACACAACTTGATATTTCAAGAGGAACAACAATTTCGCAACTTTGATCGTCTGCATAAATATTTGCACATCAACTCGTTTTGATATCACATAGTAAAATTTGAAACTAATCGAATCAAACCGCCGACCATCTCATCAGCGGCGTCCATCCATCTGGTGTCGTTCGGTGCTAGGAACTCGCGTTTTGCAAAAATTGAGACGCTCGACGTTTCGCGCGCTATTTCCTCGCCTCCATCAAGATTAGCAACTTTTTATCTGTTGTCTTTACTATGCCGTTCCTTCATTGGAAACCACATAGCGTGAACAACGTTGGCGGCCTTGAAGTTGTTCGAGTATCGCAACAAAATTGAATTGACGGTTGGTTGGTTTTTTTTATTGAAGTAAATAAAATGCAATGGGGATCATTAAAGTTTACAATTCACCGCTCGAACTGCTTCAATTTTCATTGCTGGCTTCTGAATATGGAAAATGTTGAGAGAATTCTGACGAATGTTGGCCTACTTGAATGTAAAAACTGTATTTTCTTGGAGAAATTCGAGTGGATGAGAATTGCAGAATGAATGATGAGCTGGAGACGTTCGTGACTTCAATCTGAAAATGATTTGAGCAAAAATTCATATCAAAGCTTAATTCGACCAACCTGAGCCTTGCCCATAAACCTCATAAACATTGCCAATAAATTCAAAGCTTTTTTGGTTTTGTCTGAAATCATTCTGGATCAGTTTAAGACTGACAATATATCCTAACCAATTCCGATGATATGCTCTCCGCAATTATCCAGAATGATATTGCTCGTTGCATATTTCTTAAGCAAGTTTTTCACCCTCAGTTTTCCTCTGAGAGTATTTCGCAAGTCAGCAGCAAATTCATCCGCAAATTTTTGAATGTCATCATTCTAAAAATGTTTTATCAGTCAAAATTCGAAAATGTCAAAAAAAATAGATCTTGTGCGCCTTTAAACAATCTTTTTTCTTGTTCCAAAATAATCTTCATATTAAGTTTTTCCCGAAAAACGCTTCCATACATTTTTTGGTGAATTTTCGACACTGAATTAATATACCATGTTTTTAGTAATGATTGATGAATATTTTTTATTATCATAATTGTGCTCCAGCTCAATCGCAGGATCGTGTTCGTTACCATCCTTATGATCATGATCCTTATGACAGTCGCGTTCCTAAAACAGTTCAGCTTTTCATACAATTTATTATATTATTAATAACACTTACATGTTTCAGGTTTTTTGCGGTCAATCTTAAAACAAAGTGATAAATCTTCTCGAGAAGCTTGATAAGATCGTCGGTTGTGTAGTCATCCTATTAAAAAACACTTGAATTATCATATCGACTTTCTATTTTCAAAAAAAAACTGACCCTTAATTGGATATCCATGTGCTTGGAATCGATGATATTCGAATTCGACGAAGGAGTGGATTTTTTGAGTCCATCAAGCTTAAAAAACTAAAATGTGAGAAAATTATGAAAAGAATATTTGTACGTTTAATTCGAGTCCAGGGACAATTCGATGCGGTCGAGAAACGCCAATATTTTGATAAGCCTGTAAACCGAATATTATTAGCGATATTCTTTAAATATGGGAAAAAAAAATATATATATATAAAAGTAGAAGATGGTATTAATTGGAAAAGGGAAGACATAAAATCGTTAAAAAGTGAATGAAAAATAGTTATTTTATTGTCTCAACGCGTTTTTCTTTTATTTCCACAAAGTTGCGACTTTTAATTTAATATTCAGTTTTTAAAATCACGTTTAGTTTGAAAAGTTGTACTTTAAAAAAATTAATTAATACACAACGTGCGGCCGCGGCCGAACCTATTTTTTAAAAACAATTTTTCTAGGCCACAACGTTGCTGCGAGCCGTGATAACACTGAAAAATAATACGAAATTATTTGAAATTGTTATTCGATTCGAATAGAACGCAAATGCAACATAAAAAATAGTTAAATCAAATAATAAAAAATGGATATTTAAAAATTTGGAAAATTTTATTTCAAAATTCGCTTGAGAGCCTATTTTTCAATAATTACCAACATCGAATTGAGTGTTTCCCAATAATTGAATTCTGAAAAAAAAAGACTCACTGGAGCGGACGGCTGAGCTTGAAGTCCAACGGCGAGAAAAACCAATGCCACCGCGATCGAATTCATGTCGAATATGAATTTCGCACATCATTTCGATATTTTTATACATTTTTTGCCGGCCGCCTAATGCGCTTAATTAAATTTAAAATTTTATCGGCGCATTTCCAAAAAAAATCGTCTTCTTGCATAAAAAATCGAAAAAAAAATCTTATATATAAATTTAATCGAATTATATAAAAATTAAGAAAAAAAATGATAGAGCGAAACTGTAAAAAAGAACAAATGACGTCATTATATTTCTAAAATATATAGCTAAGGAAATTGTAGCGAAAACGCTTAATATTTACATTGAGAAGAGGAGGAGGGGGGGGGGAGGGGAAGGGGAGAGGAATTTTGCGAAACAACTAAATATTGATCGATGTATCACAATACTCGGATATGAAGAGGCAAAACGAATTTGTCGAAACGAATTAAAATTGAATCCTATATTTCGATCAATATTGCATTGATTTTTTCGGGGGGAAGGAGAGGAAGTGGTGAGGAAAGGGGGGGAGGAAGCACACGAAAAATCGCAAATACTTTTGTGGTAGAATAATTTGTTAATAGTTAGGCAACTTCTATTACATCATTCCAGCCTTCTGGAGATTCTTCTGAATGATCGTGTCGATGACACTCGAAATGACCAGTTGCACCTGGAATTATGAAAATTGTTGGGGGTCCCCGGCCTCGCCCATCCTGTCAGCTATACCTGATTCGTGTCTGTCGCGCACGTCTCATGCATATAGATCGTCTTCTTATCGGGATTCAAGTTCAGCTCGGCGAACTTCATTTTGATGAACGCCACCGCCTCGTCATAATTCTGGCCGCCTTGAAGATGATGATTTTTGATCTACCGAAAAAAAAAGAACGCCCAAAGCGATTTTACCTTCGTAATCCGGAAACGCCGTGGTGATATTGACGCGTTGAATCTTCTCCATAAACAAATCTTTTTTGTTCAAGAAAAGAATCATTGCCGTCGAGAGGAACCACGTCGAATTGCAAATCGAATTGAACAATTGCATCGATTCGATCATTCGATTCTAGAACACCAACAATCAACGGGTCTCGTTGAGAATGAAAGTACCGTAGTCTCATCTTCAAAAAGCACTTGATCATACTCGGAAATGGCAGTGATGAAAATAATGGATTCGACGTTGTCGAAGCAATGAATCCACTGAAATCAAAAAAAAATTGCTAGGAGATCGGATTGAGGGTTTTACCTTTCTCCGCTCGGATCGCTGACCACCCACATCGAAAACGCTGGAAAATAAATTGTTGACGATCATTTCTTGCGGCGCGACGACAAATTCAAAATCATTCGGTCGTCATGGAAATGAATGACTCGACAAAAACTAATCCCCCCCCGCCATTTTTTTTTGTCGTCGTCGGTCTTGGCACACATGTAAATGAGTAGGTAATCTCAAATAAACTAACCGAAAATCGAGCTCTTTGATCTTGAATTTCACCTCGACGACGCCGGTGGTGGCGACGCGAGAATAGAGAATATCCTGCTCGCTTGGCCGATAGCCGGGCTCGGAAATTCGGGCGCAATTGTCGAGAAAACTGAAAATTGTTGGAAAAAAGAAATAGAAGCGCGATGAAGCACAAACTATTTGGCCGAATCGGGCAGTTGGTATTCGCTGCGCATCTCGAACGCTCTTTTCACACCGGGATCGCTCCTGAAATGCTTGTCGGAATCCATTATTTCTTTTCATTACTATGAAATTCGTGGCTCTCGAATTCAAATGGCTTCGAGATTTTCGGCTTTTAATAGTCAACCTACCATAGTGCTTGAATCGCCTTCGACACCTCATCTGAAAGCGGCTCGCTTTCTTCGCCGGCTTCTTGCACTCGAAGCACCACCGATTTCAGATTCTAAACATCCTTCAACGTCTCTCTCGACATCATCGAACTGACCTCTTTGTCAGAATCTTCCAGTGGTATGTGAAGGACTCCGTCCATCGCCTTGAGAATTGTGCACATCGACGAGACGGTGTTGTTGAAAACGATCGCCCTCTTCTCATTCACCTCTTCTTCGGAGAATCCGTTGCTGTGGAGAATTCTGGAAGAAGTCGTTAAGCTCACGTACAAATGAAAAATCGCGTACTGCATCTGCTTGAGAACTGTCGATTTGCCGCATTCGCCGGCGCCGAGTAGCAGGAGTTTGACGATGCTGCTGCCGGCGCGTTTGTCGGCGTTGAGCTGCTTCTCGATCTCCTTGTTTCTGGCATTTCCTTCGGCGTTCTCGCTGCTCTGACAGGAGCCCATTGTGTGGATGTGAGCACTGAAACTAATTTGATTGGAATTCGATAACTACAAATATTGGTTTGTGGTGTTTGAAGGCGCATGGGTGGCCATGGGTCTCGACAAGATCTTCCTAATTAAGCGCGATTGAAGGTTTGCAAATCGAGTAGCGAGCCGATTGCTCAGATTTCGCCAGGAAATGTGATGCTCGCATGGGGGAGGGGGGGATTTGAACATTGGCAGTTTGATCTACACATTGATAATGATGGGGGTGACAATGAATCACACACAAAATAACACTAATACCAACAACAATGGGATGCCGCTAATCCGCCAAAACTTTTTGCTCTCGCAAAAAAAAGTTATCAAGAGGAGGCACAAAAAAGACAGGACTACTGAAGGCCGTCTAATTTGCGTCAAATGTTTGAAGCAGGTGATCGGGCATCGAGCACCAGACATCGATTTCAGTACTCGATGAAAAGAGAGAGAGAGAGAGAGAGAGAGAGAGAGAGAGAAAGACCCTAGATGGAAATTTTGAACGAGAACGCGTAAGCTCAATAATTCGCATTATTGTGTGTGTCTATGTATTTACAACCTGTCCGTGAGAAAATCACGAATTGAAAATAATCAAAGAATAAAGAAAAAGCAACGGAGGTTTTCATCATTCATCTTCATCCATTTTTATTGTTGGCTTTACTATCTGCGGACATGTTAAGGGGTTGTCTCCTGGTTTTTGTTAATCCAACAAAGTTAAAAAAAAAAGAAGTTGTATGTAGTAAATTCCTGGCATATAAAATAAATAAGTTTTCTTGATATTTTACGGGGTCGATTTACTATAGAAAAAAACTATGATATCAATTTTGAAACTTTTCAGATTTTTACATTTAGTCGTCACGAGATATCGCCTAGTCTAAATGAGAGTATATTGAAGTCCATGTTTCGTAATAATGGAAAATTTGATTAAGAAAATGATTGTCGACATGAGGAGATCTATGTCATGAGAACCTTATGAAAATGTGCAAAAACGCCCCGAAAAAAACGGATTGTGTTCGAAGAAACCATTTCATTTTTTTTATTGCGTAATTTCCACCCGAACCAAGAACAATTTGATTTAAGAGTAATTCGGGCGGGGGGGGAGCGACTTACCGATTTTCGGAGAGGACACCCAATGAACCGCGCGCTCGACTTCAACTGAAACTGATGATCATTGAATATGCAAAACAAAACAAATGTGCGGCGGTCTGAAATCGAGAAAACCGAATGAGCGAACGTTTTGAACCGAGAGCGAAGAGCGAAGAATGACTGAAAATGGGTCGGAAGGGGGGGGGCGGAGTCGTCGGGGCGAGATGCGGATTAGTGGAAGATTTCGTTTTTTTTTTTGAAAAGTGCACGATGAGCAGGCCATCAAAAACAACAATTTTCAGGGAGGGGAAGGTTGAGGAAGCTGGCCGAGACAACATGCAATTACTTTGATTGTTATCCATTTCTGTTGATATTGTATCACCATTAATGCGTCATTCAACACGAATCTCTCTTGTTATTTCGCTTTTGGAAGTGGTCATGCAAAACAACTCGAAATCGAGTATCATTCTTCCAGCAAAATGCCTCACGCTTCGAGAAACTCCACGGCACACCTGATTTGATTCGATTAATTTAAATCTGAAGACTTGAGTTCAACTAGATCAATATGATGATCGTATTTGGAAGAAAACGTCTAGCTTGAAGATCATTACTAGTAGGCAAAGGAATTATGAAAATCAAGCTGAAACTTTTGGTGACTATACACATAATATCAATCGAATATGATTAATATATGTATGAATAAAAAAGGAAAAGACAAAATAATAAGAAATGAAGATGTTCGAGGTAAACAAAAATTGTGTGTTTCGCCACAAAATAATGTGCGTGCGCGAATACAAAAAACAGAATGAAGCTGAAATTGATGTACTACTTGTGTCGGCATGTCTAACACGGCGAATTGTCTTGAGCAGCAATCTTCTTGATCGACACTACAGCGGATTAGGAGATTATGAAGGGTTGTGAACAATTGGCTGCGACATCGACATCGGCTTTTGATGAATTCAATAGACGGGCGGATAATACCCAAACGACGTACGTACTCGTTGGAATTTATCAGTAACCTGCGAGTTGTAAGATTTGATATGAGTTTGAGGCTCGAAATTTTTCACAATAAATATCATGAAAGCAACCAATGAAAACGTGAAACAAAATTCATTTTTTATTTAAAGGAGCATGATAGAATATTTTTCAAGTTTTCTAAAACGAAAATCGTTGTTTGGTATTATTTAAAAAAAATACAAAAAATTATTTAAATATATTTTAGCCAAAATGAGAGGCACTGAAGTTCATTCTTGGAAGCTTAAAATTCTATTATTGCACCTTATATGCATATGATTCACAATTTGGTAGCTGAAACATAGCGAAGGTTCAATGATAGCAGCTGGGAATGTTATTTGGTTCAATCGCAAAGCTCGATGGTCCTTGCGACTTTTCGGCAGAATGTCAACAATCACGTGTGAAGCTTTCAAGAAGGTGGCTGAATGCACGCGCGCAAGCGCACACACAAATATTCAAAAGAGGCTAATGAAATGAGAAGACATTCGAATAATGAATTTAATGAATGTCCAATGAGGTGGGTTGATGTTGTTTGATGAGAAGTGCAAAGGAATCCAGGCGAACGCCGGTTCAAATTGTTTGAAGCAAAAATCAGCTGCGGACAATATTTGCTTCATAAAAAGAGTTTCGCTTTTTTCATACCATAAAGCTTAATTGCAATTTAATTAAAATTAATTGTTTTAATTAAATGCTCAATGGATAAAAAAATAATAATAAGTAATGATTAAATGGTTCAAAGAATTTAAAGCGAGTTAAAAAGAGGAATGTCTGATCCCGAAGGAATGAGATTCTAGTTTGATTCATTCATATGTTATGAAATGCCGAGCAATATAAGGGATTGATTGGAAGAAGTTGAATTAATTGATAATCGAATCAAAAATCAAAATACGAATCTTGAAAATTTATACTAAATTGAGAAGAATTCCGTGGAAAAGCTTTTCATTTCAACAATGTCATTTTAGGGGTTGACATAATGTTTTTCGACATTTCTCAAATAAATCCGAGATGTGCAAAAGTTGCAAAAAATGTGCAATTGTTTTGTCAACAAAAAATTCGAATCGTTTCAAGACCCACAAACAACGTCATCGTCACGTGTTGAGGGGGGGGGCGGTTGAATAATAGGCCGAATCTCATTAAGAAACCAATTTTTGGGAGCCAAATCACGCCAACCAGCGAGAGCAGAGTATACGACCAATCCAAAAAGGTCTCATTGTTTATTGGATTTCCAATTTTGCCTGATTCAAAACGCGCTGCTGCAAAACCGACGAAACGAGAGAGAGAGAGCCGCCGCCGTCGTCGAAAAAAGGCAGTGCAATTACCTGCGTATTCAGAAGTTGGTGTCGGCCGGCGAATTAGGTAACATTTGAGTGGGTGGGTGGCGCGCCATGCACATCGATATCAGAATCTCACGCCGCCAAGGTTGCTCGTATAATTAAGCAGGCTCTCTCGGTCGCATGCTCAATTGGTATTCAAACGAAACATTTTTTTTTGGCGGACTATGTGTTACAATTTTCAACGCCTTGCAAATTGGGGAAAACCCATTTTTTTAGCAAATTTATTTTTTTGGGTAGATCAAAAAAAGTGCATAATTTCCGAAAAAAATTACATGAAAATTAATTAGCGGCGTCATTTTTTGAATATTCTGAGCGATAGGTAAAAAAATTGAGAAAAAAGAGAGAGAGAGAGAGAGAGAGAGAATTGAATGTGGGCGGCGGTGTTAAGGTGAGATTTTCTCATTAAAACCTTCCGCATGACTTGTATTGTTACGCTCATTTTTATGATGGCGTTGCCCGTGGAAACGAGAGGGTAGCAATGCCGAAACCGACGACAAGGTTCGTTTATTGGATGGGTTGAAGTGTCGCCAAGCAGAGAGAGAGAGAGAGAGAGAGACCAGCAGCAACCTATGGCCTTAACTAGAAAACAAACAACTAATAACAGGGGATCGTCATATCATTATTATATGCTTGTCGGCTAAAAATATGAGTTTTGATGCTCTAGGAGTCTACATATTATTATAAGCTCAATACAACTGCCTTTGTCAATTCAATGCTACGGACAATGTTAGGGGTTTTCGTGAACTGGTTGCGTTTGATAATTTCCACCTGCGGACATTCTTTTCGACTTCAAACTATAAACATTTCTAGTAAATTTTTTAAAAGACATGATGTCATATAATAAAAATAACTTATTTTTGAGAATTGATTTTGATATATTTAGTGGGGCGAAAAAAGAAACGACATAGGTCGAGAAATGAAATGAAAAGAAAAAAAATATGCGAAATCGAAGGAATGCATAGCAACCCGGTAATCAGCTGGAATGTAATTGAGGTGTGCGCCAATTCGATTGGATACTTATGACATTTTTTCTCTATCATTTTTTTTTCAAAGAAAATGTCTTTGTTTTTTTTTTTTTTTAATATTTATTAGGGTAAAAAATCCGAAATTTGTGGGTCCTTTAAATTAAAAAAAAAAATTCCAATAGATCTTGGAAATCATTATTAAAATTTTTGCAATTTAGAACGGACCTATTCATGCAATTAAAAAAAAATATTAAATTACAAAAAAATTGAATGTAATTATTTGCATTTTTTTTGGAAAACTCCATATCATGAATCCATTCTGAAATGGATTTTCTCGCTTGGAACTAAAAGTTTGCGCAGGTAGCGACCTAGTTCATTCGATTGGAAATTTTTGAAAGAATCTGTATGCAAAAAATAAAAAAATTTTAAGACAGCAAAATGACCTCCCTTGTGAGATCGGCTCCCCCTATTCCCATTTTCGGGGTTACTAATTGCATACATACTTTCCTCTGATTTCACACCCCCGCTTAGATTGGCCCCCTCAAATTGAATTGGTACAAATTGGTGGAAACCCAAAACCAGGTGGCCGCGCTATTCGGCATTTCTACCTCAGAAGCTTAATTTGTGTATTGTCATGGACGGCCAATTTTGGGATGCGATTGATTTGTCATTTGAATTGCCGCCTTGGGTCTCGTATAGATTCACTTTCAGTTTTTACGAATATTAAATATTTTGAATATTAATAAAAAGTATCAAATGACAGAGTACTTTTCATTTCACGAGACCCAATTAATCGGCGTCCCACGCAATTCAAATTTCTCAAATTCGTGTAGAAATGAAGGTTTTTTTCTTTTTTTTTCACTAACTGCCTACCGCTTGCATCCTCATTTTAATATTAAAAAATCGATCTGCGGACAATTTTATATTAAAAAATTAATTGCACGAAGGTAGAAAATAATACTTTTTTTCAATTACGCTGAATGGCACTTTTCAAGCTCATACATACTTATGAGATCATTATTATTAGTATTATTATACAATATTTCTCGGCAGCGGCGGCGGCGGAGACTCGAGCTCCGTCGATTTGTGCACCGGAGTGATTGGCTCGAGTGCAATCTGGGCTCGGCACGATCGCAGAGCCTCGGAATAGGTGGGAAGATGGCTGCTGGATGAGACGCACACCGAATATGGCGGCGGCGGTGTCTGCAAATCAATAGTTGCCATCCGATCACAATCGGAATATGTCACCTCGACGTCCTTTTTGACGTCGTTACCGATGCATGAGCACGACCCGTAGAATGCTCTGAAATAGTGATACGATGGAAGTTTGGCCACCAACAAATATGTATGAGCAATGTTACTTGAAAGTGTAGCCGATATCAACTGTCAGGAGTGTGGCGAACACGTAAATCCAAATGCACACACTTGGATGCTCTTCTAATAGAATATTCATGACTTCTGGATAATGTCGAGAGCGTCGAAACTGGAAAACGGAGACGACTGTCGAGAAACGATTGATTCCTCACCTCCATCCGATCCTTCATATTCCTCACTCGAATGCTTATGTTGCCAAGACACATCATCGCCATTAAAACCGACGTTGAGAGAAGCGCGAATTTGACGATTAATGACGGGAATATGAGAAGCGGCTTGTGTTTCGCCGTCCCGATGGCGGCAAGCATTAGAAGGAACGTGTCGAGAACGAATGCTTCGAAGCATTCTTTTGCCGTGAACGAGACGTGCGCCAGAATGTAGATCACAAAGTGGAGCAGAAATGAGCAAACGAAATAGCGGTAGCACTGCAAAAATTTTGTGCGATTTTCCCTATTTGCAATAGTTTTTTTTTGCAAGAAATCATTTCTATTTAGTTTGGCTGGACTAGATTTGGTTCGCGGGTACACACAGACGCAAAATTGCACACATTTGATATCAATCAATATTTAATTTTTTTAAATAAATGCCTTATGATTTTCTTCATAAAGGTTGGCAATGAGCAGGCTCCAATCCACTGGTCATCAATTCTGACGAGAATTTGTCCGCAACACACCTGATGCTTGACAATGGACCAGCAAATATCACAATACTGAGAAAATAAAAAAGAAAAATTTTAATTCAGAAATAATATTTTTTTCTTTTGCCCCATAGCAATTTGCATTAGTTTTCGTGAAAATTTTCAAGTCTGTTTCCATTTCGAACTTCTTTAAAGGTCTTATAACTCGCATAGCAGCTGACACTCATTATTTAAAAGGAAATGTGAAACTTTAGAATTTTTCTGTTTTAAAAACGTTTCATGACAATACAAATACATAAATGAATACTATGCTATTTATGCGTTTGTTTATTTTGAGCCATAATGAGGAGAAACATTGGCGAACGAATCTCATGATATGTTTGTATGAAATTTTCGATGGTCCCTCACTTGGATTGAGCACATAATACATATTTAGAGCCATCGGATTCGGTGTGATTTTGAACCGGTTCAGAAATGTCGATTGTTAAGAAGAAAATTGATTATGAAACATGAAAATTTTGGAAAAAAAATTATTTTGAAGGTGGGAATTCAAATTTAAGACGTCGGAAATTCGGGTACCGTACTACCGACAACCTGCGAATCAAACTCACGGACTTTTTTAAGCTGCATTATCTTGGGTGCCCGTTTTTTTTTTGCGTAAAGTAGATTAGAAAAATAAATTATGGCGCGAAGAAAAAAAATTAATTTTATGTCATTTCTTTTATTTTTGTAAATCACAGTTTAGAGGTTTCTCTAAACAAAAATCTAGTGTGTTTTTGAAAAAAAAAGGCGGCTATCAGAATCAATCGCCACAAGACCCAACTCATTTTCCTCGTTGTGAGCCTTTAATCGATTTTTAAAAATTTCAATTGAGATTCATAATATTTGCAAATTAAAATTGTTGAAAATTTGTCAGAAAAACCGAAATCGGGGGATTTTTTCAACATAATTTGAGTAGCCATTTAAATTTGGAAATTAATTTGGTGATGAGAGACGCCCACAATTTTTTTCCGGTGGGTCTCGCAGCGATCGATTCTGGTAGCCGCAATGTTCCGACAATAAAGGTAAATTCCTCAAAATTTGGCAAAACAAGGTAAATTTTAAGAAATTGGAGTGCCAATTGTGAAGACATCAAAATCAATCAACAAAATCCAAAAAAAATATATATGAGGAGGTAGCGGAAAAACACTCGATTCGACTCACCCTTTCCATCAAAAATGCTGTCAATATTGAGGTTCGCGCTGAATTTCTCGTCATACTGAAACAAAAAAAAGAAAACTATACATGTATAGTAATAGCGATGTACAAGACGAGTCATCATATATAGTAAAACGAAAAAATCAATTGTATGCGCGTCGTAGGAAACGAGCGAATCAGAAAGAATTGTTTGATAACCTTAAATGGGAAATAGAGGGAATGAAGGTATAAACAAACAAATAATGTTGCGGAGAATTTTCAGCTGGCTTTTCAATCACATGAAGGGGTCCGATGGAGAGCAAAAGCAGAAAGGACGCGCACCTAATATGGCGACTGCGTCATCGAGATTGGCTCAATGTCGTAAAACGTAAGAATGCGCGTGTGTCGATTAAGCGCCCCACAAATTTCGAATGCAAGTTCTTTTTATATTAAATTAGGGCTTTGGCAAAAGCATTCGTTTTGTGATTGAACTCGAGGTGCATTTTTTTTCGATATTTATTTTTATGCTGCTGCGGACATGAATTTGTACAAAAAAATAATAACGGGTAATTTGAAAAATAAGATTTTTTGCAATGCGAAATTGTAGACACAAAATTTTGCGTCTGATAAATAATTTCATCATTGAGGCCGTGGACGAGATATTATCCGAATTATAGGCCACGCTAGATAATTCAAAGAGGGAATCTCGAATGAATTGGCTTCCGCGCAATTAGCAATTCATATTAGTGAGAAAATAACAGTAACAATGGAAATTATCTATTTAGATGGCCGTGGCCTAGATTTTTGTGCCAACGGTCATTTCAAATGTATGCCGAAAAAGAGAAACTCAAGTGGTTGCAGTCATGGCCTAGTTTTTAGAAATGTTCGGTCGGCCAAGGTCACTAGGAAATATAAATGTATGAACGACGAGGCGAATTTGAGATGCGATTGTTTTATTGTTTGAATTGGCGCCGTGGGTCTCGTATGGAAAAAAAAACTTTTAGAAGCGAATTTTATGTATTCTAACTATCATAATATGAAAGAGCATGTTTTTTGTGAGCCTTAAGTACGAATGGCGGAGTATGAGCCGATTTTTTTTAGGGACCAATTAAATGACAGCCCGCGCAATTCATATTTCTCAAATTCGTCCGTCCACGACACACACATATTTCAAAAATGATGAAAATGAAATCGAGTGGAATTGTCCGCAGATGGTTTTTATATAAAATGAGAAAGCAACACAACCCGCGAGAGATGTTATCGTGGCAATTTTTCAAGGTCTCAATGAATCGAGCGAGTAAAAAATCATGGTATATGAGTTAGCATTTGTAAACAAAATGTGAGCTAATTGAAAAATCAAACGCAAATTGAAATGCACCTGTCGATTTCTTGTTTTTTTTTCGTCCAATCAACATATAATTCTGAGATGTCGTGCAAAAAAATTTTGGATTTATATGATGTGTTTTAATCCTTTTTTTTGAACCGAAGAATCGTGAGAGAAGAGAATTATTTTCCCTATTGTTCTGTTTGATTTAATCCCACCTGATCTCACTGATTCATAATTGTGCGACTCGGGAAAATGAAAATCAGTCAGATTCGAAGAAAAAATAAAAAACAAATTAACCTGATTAAGAAAAAAATATGTCAAAATCCTCGTGTGCCGATTAATTTGCGTTCAATTTCTAATGAAAACGAAATTGTTTTCAAAACCCATTGATTTTTATTTACCAGCCGGCAAATGGGAATCAATAAGAAGGCGAAAAAGAAAAAACAAGATTGCGATGGAACTATTCGAGACAGTCGACCAATTAAATGTTCGTCTGGGCGATATTGATTTGAAGGGAAGTCAGATGATGATGGAATGGAGTGGAATCGGCGAGACATATTGCCATCATCAATTTGATCGACCAAAAATTACATCGTCTTACCATTTTATTCATTAGACGATAATTCTAAAAAGTAATTCAATAACTTCGCTCTTGAAGTTTTTATTTGGTTGGTTTTAAGTGTCATACACGCTGCGGACATTTTCCCAGGCCGGCTTTCATTAGTCAAAAATTGTCCGCAGATGGTGTTAATGGCTGAAAACATTTTAAAATTGGCCGAATTTATTTTTTAAATTTTTTTTTAGAAACATCAATTGTTTGAATGATCTCCTAAGAGTTTCATTGATTGGTTTGGCCTCGAAAATTGTCGGCAGATAAAAATTTCCAAAACCAATTCTCCGGATCGATGAACTTCTCTAATTAGCCAACATTCAAGTGTGTACCGTGTCATCGAAAAAAAAAACTGGATTTCAAAAAGAAAATAAATTGAACACACAAAAATTTGTTAATGAGTTTGGCTGGTCAACCCGCAATCAATATTTAATTTTGAAGGAATGAAGAAATAGTTGAATAACTGACGAGTGTTGATGGTGAATAATTGTCTCGTGAGAACCCAATTTGCCACTCCTGAAAACAAACTTTCTTTTTCCGGAAAGCCGTCAACAAAAAATATAGTGATTAATAGGGACAAGTGCAAAATCTCTGCATACAAGGCAAGGTGAATTTAAAGGCGCATGTTGACAAACAAGAGTTTCCATGGATATCGCTTCATTATGAATGTGCACATCGTGATTTTTTTTTATTTTTTCTCTTTTTAGAGAATCTTTGATCTCAATTCTCTCGAATTTATCGGTTCGCTGATTTTTGAGGCAGAAGATTCGTATCAAATGAGTCAGAAGAAGATGAAGGAGAGGCGGAAAATAAACAAAAGAAATGCGCTAGAAGCTCGCTTTTTTTTGCTGCTTCTTCGATTTCTTGCTTGAAATTTTGTCCGCAGATGGATTTTTATTTCTCCATCAATATTAGAGAACAAGCCAATATTATTGTGAAAAAATCGAAAATGTGTTTTTTTTTTTGAAAATTTTTATTTCCAATGGATTTTCTTTTTTAATTGACAAAATTCAACCCGCAAAATTGTCCGCAGATGATTTTGAACGAATTTTTTTGCATGTATTTCGAAAACAGTGTATTTTTTAGAGGGAAATATGTCATGTTTAACATCTTCTAATCAAATTTATTGGCATTTCTTTCCGTTTGCAATAATCCAAAAACATTTGCGAATGTTTGACGCAAAAGGACAAATGCGAAACTTTCTTCGTGCAAAAAATTATTTTGTCGGTTCTTAAATGAATTTATAAGTTTAAGCGTCCAAATTCCACCTGAAAATGTGATATTTCAAAACGAGACCTCACTCGTAGCATTATTTTGATAAATAAATTTTTTTTTGAAATTCCGCATTGAATTTAAGTGTAAGGTGGCTGTGAGAAGACTATGGCTCTTTGCTGGAGCCCAAAAAATTAAAAATTGTTTTTTTTTAATATTTATGGTTAAAAAATGTGCCAATTCTAAGAGTTTGAGCCAATTTTGCTATCTTGGACCAATCTAACCGAAGAATATATTTTTTGCCGTTCTTTTTTGTATATTTCTTAATTTTTTTAATAAACTTTCATCAGCTCAATGCTGGATTTCTAAATGGTAGAAATATGACAAAAGTCGCATTTTTCATTTTTTTTTTAATCACATTAATTTTATTAATTTTTTTTCATGTTCTATAAAATAGCCGGCAGACCCACATGGGTCGATTTGTGAGCATTCTAACTTCATGTGACGGGACCACAACAAAAAACAAATGCCCGTAAATCTATCGGTTCAAAAAAATGTAGAAAAAATAATTTTTAAAATGTATTAAAAATAAAATAGTAATGAATGGATGTAGCGTTGGAATAAGAAGTCATCGGAAAATGAATGTCGTCAGGCGCGTGACGGTTCGCGTGCGGTTTTGTATGTTTCATGATTTTTTTCGAAGTTTATCAACGGAATGCATTGATTGATGAATGATACGGAATAAATTCCGGAACAACCGGAATCATTTGCTACCAAATTTGGGAAAATTGACCGCACCCTAAAATGGAGAAAAAAGTATTTAAAATTTTTTTTTTAATTTTTATTTAAAAATAATCGATACTGTAAATCGCTTTGGGTACTTCAGAGCTTCCGTCTTTTTCCGTCTTATATTTTAAGAAAATAAAGCTCTGAATTACAGCTTAGCTAACCGAACTCAACTATTCGATCGTGACGGTCCAATTCAGTTGTTCGAAACCAAATATCAAAAAAATGTTTTCAGCCATTTTCAGGACTACAATATTTTTGAGAAATACCATTTATCTAATTAGGATTTTCTTATATCGAAATGTTTTCTTAATTTCCTCCTATTACTGATATCTATCTTCTGAATCCCAATGGACGTCTTCAGCTTTTACAATAAAAATTAAATTGCTCAAAAAGAATAATTTATTATAACATTTTTTTTGCAAAAAACCATAATTAGAATGTAGAAAATATCCAATTTTTTTCATATTTTATAATTTTTTTTCTATTCAATTTCAAGTCAATATTATGCGAATTTGAACCCTTGACTTTCTTTTTAAATTTCGGATTCAGCTTTCAAAACTTTCTCGACTAGGCAGATTGACAAAAAAAAACCTATAAATTTTAAATGTTGTTTTCAAGTTTCTGAACGCTAACGGACCATTATGAATGCGCTAATTTTATTTGCTCTGTTCTCGCCATCGCTTTTCTCCGTAATTAATTCATTTCGCTGTGATCAAAAAATTCGTCTAAAATCCTCAGAATGGCAAAAAATTTGCCCTTATTTGAATTATTGCTTCAGTGATCAAATTTCGCGTCAGAATTTTCGAGTCTTCTATTGTATTCGAATTGTGATTTCGAATAATAGGGGAAACTAATAATTTATTCGAATTATTCTTCTGTTTTCATAGACTTTGATGCTCTCGATCGCCAAAGAAATGAGAATGTGACGCGTGCGCCTTTAATTATACAGTGTGTTTGGAATTTGAAAAAGAAAAACTCTGCGAAATCTGCATTTCCGGTTTTCATTTTTCAGAAAATCCATCGAAATTTGAGATATTTTAGCGACAATTTTGAGGAGGCAATTTCAAAAACTGTTCGTTTGAAAACCCTTTAGAAGATTAATATATTAAAGGAACATAAGCTCAGACTTTCTTTTTAGAAGAA